CCACATTAGAAAATGAGGGAGAAACATAAATTCCTTCCAGTAACAGTAGAACATACATCCACATATCTTAATTACCTGGAATAGAGAAATAGGGTATTAGTTGGAGGTCCATAAAATGAAGTGAAACATTTCTTTTCAACTTTTAAAATGGAGCATATTTCCATAATGTTTCTGTAATGATAAGAACATTTCACATCAAGAAATGCTTGCAAATATATCTTTGCAACAGCAGGTGCGAGAGACATTTTTCGCATTATTTTCTGTGAAGAAAAAAGAAAAAAAAAATTAAGATGTGTAAAGGGGGATACAGGTGTGCTTACCTTGAAACTATCTCATTATCTCAAAAGATGAATATGTATGTGGATTTATTAGTCATTTGCTTTCTCTGTCTCAAATTATCTGTGAATTTTTTGCTTTAGTATAGGCAGAGAGGAGAAATTTTCTGTTGTTACCTCTGATCTTTCAAACAACGAATTGTTATTTTTTTCTGTTTTTTCTTTTTTTTAACCTCCATAGAATGGCTTTTTGCTATTTAGCTCTTTCATGTATGTATAGGGGCTGGACAGGGAAGTCTGGTGTGCTGAGTCCATGGGGTAGCAAAGAGTCGGACACGACTGAGCAACTGGACTGAACTGAACTGAAAGGGGCTTCCCAGGTCGCGCTAGTGGTAAAGAACACACCTGCCATTGCAGGAGACATAAGAGATGCTGGTTCGATCCCTGGGTTGGGAAGATCCCCTGGAGGAGGGCAATGCAATCCACTCCAGTATTCTTGCCTGCAGAATCCCTTGAACAGAGGAGCCTGGAGGGCTACTGTCCCATGGGGTCACAAAGAGTCAGACACAACTCAAGCAACTTAGCACACGTGCATGCCTGTACATGTATGCATAGATGCATTTGAAAGGAGTTATGAGTGTATATAGTTTTCATGTGATCAATATATTAATCAAGCACATGAACTCCCTTCATTGCTTTCCCATTTTTTAAATATTTCTGAAAGAATTAAGTTCTCAGGTTAGCATTCTTCACTTGTAAATTCTTGTTTTAACGAAAATGGCAATGAAGCAACTACATCTTTAGTGTTATTAGATCACCCTATTTAATTTCTCCAAGTCTTTATGTTGCTCTTTTCCTTTGCTTTCTTTTGTTTCGCTTTCCATTGTATGTGTGTGTGTGTGTGTGTGTGTGTGTGATTAGATCTGTTTCTGAAAGTTGCATCAAATCTGGCCTTCATGTGGAAGCATGCTTCATTACCATTTGACCAAAGATCACTTGTGTCTTCCTAAAACAAATAGAAATCCACACATATTCATATAACAGGAAATAACTCAGGTAATGCATTCTCACTACATTTAAAAATTCATTCTGTTATATTCTTTTTTTCCCAAGTCTTGGCAATTTAATTTTGTATTGGTGACCCATGTTGATGTTGTTAAATCATTACTGTTTCATATTTCTATATAATTTTTTTTAGATTTTCACCCAATTTTGTTACATACAGTTGTTTTGAAACCACTTGACTTAGACTAATTTCATTCTCACTGACATTTTGTCCCATAAATTCTTAATTTATTGTAAAACTTCTCTTTGTAAACTATGTACATAAACATGCCAGTACACTTTTATACAAATGCATGAATAGGATCCTTTGCACATTAAAATTGCTCCTCATGTTTTAGTGCAATCATTTTCCCTACCTTTTTTCCTTAATAATTTCTCATAGACTTGCCTCCAATTACTACTCGAATGACTTATTATTTATCTGACTGTATCATGGGCTTCCCAGGTGGTTCAGTGGGTAAAGAATCTGCCTGTAATGCATGAGCCACAGGAGACACAGGAAATGTGAGTCCGGTCCCTGGGTTGGGCAGATCTCCTGGATGAGGGCATAGAATCCACTCCAGTGTTCTTGCCTAGAGAGTCCTGTGGATGGAGGAGCCTGGTGGGCTGCCATCTATGGGGTCGCACAGAATCAGACACGACTGAAGCAACAGCATGCATGCATGCGTTGGAGAAGGAAATGGCAACCCACGCCACTGTTCTTGTCTGGAGAATCCCAGGGATGGAGGAGCCCGGTGGGCTGCCGTCTATGGGGTCACACAGAGTCGGGCACGACTGAAGCGACTTAGCAGCAGCAGCAGACTTGTTTTGTAATTATACTATTTAACTTGGTCTCATTATTTCCTTATTTTTCATTTTACCCAATTTATTTTTGTGAAAGTGTTAGTCATTCAGTTGTGTCCGACTCTTTGTGACCCTATGGACTGTAGCCCACCAGCCTCCTCTGTCCATGGAATTCTCCAAGGAAGATACTAGAGTGGACTGCCGTTTTTTCCTCCAGGGGATCTTCCCAACCAGGGATTGAACCCAGGTCTCCTGCACTGCAGGCAGATTGTTTACTGTCTGAGCCATCACATATATTCACATACTTGGTTAACAAAACAGGTGAAGTCTCTGCTTGGGGGATCTAGAATCATGACTGGGAAGACAGAATACAATTAAAGATATGTATGCATAGTGCAATGTCCTCAGATAACTAATATGAAGAAAGTAATTCAGTGACAAGATTGGAATTGTCACAGAATGTAGGTGTATCTGTGTGGACCGTGGACTTTGTTGATGCTGGGACAAAGATCAGACTTAGGAGAAAGGAAGTCTTAAGAACTAATCAAAAAAGCAATAGAAACACAAGCAAAGCAAAGCAAAGATGCCATTTATGAAAATGGAAATAGAGACTTGCCAGGTATGTGATGTAAATGTGGTTGTTCAAATGAATACGAAACAGGCACGGGCAAAACAATTTTGCTAGCTGATATGTAAAATACTCAACATTCAGTTACTTTCATTTTACTTTATAAACATCCTTGTGTAAAGTATTGGCTTATTGCTTTTGGGTTTTATCTTATGGGCTGTAAAATCTCTAATTGTCTCACACCATAAAGATATAGTGACCTTTTCTTTTGAATGACTTTATTTTTGCTTTTTCATTATTTTCCATGGCCATGGATGAAATGTAACAACACATGAAATGTCACCAGAACCAAAAAGGCTTTTCCTCACCAAAGTCTCAGAGATCTTTTGAGCTTATGCACCATCTCTCTCTCTCTCTTTCTCTCTCTCTCTCTATGTATATATATATATACATATATATTTTCTGCTTGCTTTTGCTCATATCCAATTCCTTGCAACCACATGGACTGTAACCCACCAGGCTCCTTTGTCCATGGGATTTTTCAGGCAAGAAAACTAAAGTGGGTGGCCATGCCCTCCTCCAGGGGATCTTCCTGACTCAGGGATTGAAACTATGTCTCTATATATATATGGATTATATATATATGTGGATTATACATATATATGTGGATTATATATATGTGTGTGTGAATTATATTTGTGTGTGTGTGTGTGTGTGTGTGTGTATATATATATATGAAATCCAGGTTTTGAAATTTTGAGGAAAGATACAGACATCTATGTAAACAATGTAGAGACACACATGTTCCCTGAACGTATTTTTATGTGCCTTTGAGACAAGAATGAAATGACTGCCAAAACTGAGCGCCACGTTCACTGGTACCGGGGAAATCTGCTTCTGTGCTCAGTCTTGTCTGATTCATGGGATTTCCCAGGCAAGAAAACTGAAATGGGTTGCCATTTCCTGCTCTAGGGGATCTTCCCAACCCAGGTATTGAGCCCCTGTCTCTTGCATCTTCTGCATTGGCAGACAGATTCTTTATCACTGTGCTACCTGGGAAGCCACCTGGGAAATGTACAAAAGGGAATTTCTGGATGCCCTTTCTACATAATCTTATCTAGTCACCTTGAGCAGCATCAACCTTTACTTACTCAGGGTAGTTAAGGGTGAAAACAAGGTGGAAGTAACACAGCCTAGGAAACCAGGGTCTCACTGTAGGTCTTTGTTTTCTTGCCCCATGGAGTGGGAGAAGTCTTCAGAGCAGTGGTACCAAGCTCACATATTCCAAGATGACTCTCATACACAGAGGCCAGAACTCAATCAACAGAAGGGATCCATTTAAACATACAGGACATCTGTATGTGCAGCAATTTCATAAAGTGCTAGGAGAACATAGTGGGGGTTTGAAGTTTCAACAGCAGTGGGTAGCCCAACTTATTGCTCAGCCGCCTCTGGCTCCATATCTCCTCACTCTCCCTCTTGCTCTTACCCCCTCCCCTCATTAACCCCTCCCACATTAGTGCCTTTTTTAAAAACTAGAACATCTTAGACAGGTGCCTTCCCCAGGGCCTTTGCACTGGCTATTCTCTCTGCCAGGCACAAAGTTCTCCTTGTGCCTGGCACATTCATGGCTCCTGCTCTCTCTTCCTTGAGGTCTCTGTTCAAATGATAACTATTTTTTGCCTGTCTTGCCTTAAATAATAGGAGCCTTTCATAAGTCTTTACCTTATATGTGCTTTCAAATTTCTACATAGAACATTTCACCATCTCCCAAGGCATATATATCCTAGAGAAGGAAATGGCAACCCACTCCAGTATCCTGGCCTGAGAAATCCCTTGGATAGATGGATAGAGGAGCCTGGTAGGCTACAGTACTGAGGTTACAGAGTCAGACATGACCAAGCCCACACATACACACACACTCACATGCACATATGGTAATAGTTTTTCTCCATGGACAGATTTTTAAAGTTTTCATATTTCAGCACTCTATGCACATTTCCTAGACAGTACCTGAAATATTGTTTCACCCAATATATAGTGCCCAAAGAAATGAAAAATATTCTCATTAAATATGTGAATTACACGACATCTTGGGGAAAATGCTAAAACTGGAACACATATGCAAGTTAGAAATGACAGAAGGAATTTCTTAAAGAGGATCAAGTTCTTGCAAAATATTGAAATTAATTAAGAAATGTAATTAAATATAATTAAGCAAAATACAGAGTGTATTTTTGAACACTATAATGGGCCTTTATGTGAAAATGAGTCATATTGTCATGTTTCTTTATAGTCAGCATCAACGAATGACACCAAGCAACCTCACAAAGGTTTCAGAATTTTTTCTTCTGGGATTTTCAGAGGAACCAGCACTGCAGCGCCTCATATTTGGTCTTTTCCTCTCCATGTACCTGGTCACTGTGTTTGGAAACCTGCTCATCATCCTGATCATCAGCTCAGACTCCCACCTCCACACTCCCATGTACTTCTTCCTCTCCAACCTGGCCTTCATAGACATCTGTTTCACCTCCACCACCATCCCAAAGATGCTGAAGAACATATGGAAACAGAGCAAAGCCATCACCTATGAAGGCTGCGTCACCCAGATGCATTTTTTCATACTGTTTGCAGGGTTGGATGACTTCCTCCTGACTGTGATGGCCTATGATCGGTTTGTGGCCATCTGCCACCCCCTTCATTACAGGGTCATCATGAACCCCCAGCTCTGTGCAATTCTGGTTCTAGTTAGCTGGGCCATCAGTGTCCTGGATTCCTTGATACAGACCTTCATGGTATCAAGGCTGTCCTTTTGTAGAGATGTGTTAATCCCTCACTATTTCTGTGAACACAAACAGCTGGTACAACTTGCCAGTTCTGACCACCTCCTTAATGAAATGGTCATGTATTTTGCAGCTGGGTTACTGGGTGCTGGTCCCTTCGCAGGCATATTTTACTCTTACTGTAAGATTGCTTCCTCCATATGTGGAATCGCATCATCTCAGGGTAAATATAAAGCATTTTCCACTTGCGTGTCTCACCTATCAGTTGTCTCCTTATTTTACGGCACATGCCTGGGAGTGTACCTTAGCTCTGCTGCTACTCACAGTGCACATTCAAGTACAATCGCCTCCGTGATGTACACTGTGGTCACACCCATGCTGAACCCCTTCATCTACAGTCTCAGGAACAAAGACATAAAGAGGGCTCTGCGAGCATTCTTCAGAGAGGCAGCTCTAAAAAGGCCCATGGTTGTGGGATAAAGAAGGGGACATAATTAAAAGTGTCAAAGCCTCAGAGTCAGAAATTATAAATCTCTGATCAGAATCTTTGATCAGATTGTGAAAAGAGAATTTGTCCCTCTATTTCTTGAATTCTCATACTTTGACTTTGCCTCCTTCATTACAATTTATGTAACTCACATGGTTAGCCTTAGTGATTTCTATCATAAACATCAGTTTTTCACTTTTATGATTTTCTGCTCTCTCAAATTTAAGAAATGGCAAGAAGCTCAGTCGCTAAGTTATGTCCAACTCTTTGTGACCCTTTGGACTGTAACCCGCCATGCTCCCCTGTCCATGGGACTCTCCAGGAAAGAATACTGGAGTGGATTGCCATTTCATTCCTCCTCCAGGGGACCTTCCTGACCTAGGGATTGTACCTGCATCTCCTGTGCCTCCAGCACTTGCAGGCAGATTCTTTACCATTGAGCCACCTGAGAAGCTCTGGGAAATTACTCTAATTGCCTTCATTTCTGTTTCTTTTGATTATTGTATCAGTATGCCTTTGCAACATAACAATCTATCTTAAAAGCAAGTGATGTGACATTGTTTTATTAAAATGGATGGTTTGGAATTGTGCTGATCTCTGCTCAGATCCTCCTGTGTATTTATTTACCTGAAAGTCAGCCGTGGAGGCTCTATTGATCTTGGTTGAGCATTCTAATACACTGGGAAATCAACTAGTCATGGTTTAGTCCCTAAGTCATGTCCGACTCTTGTGACCCCATGCACTGTATCCTGCCAGGCTCCTCTGTCCATGGGATTCTCCAGGTGAGAATACTGGGGTGGGTTCCCATTTCCTTTTCAAGAGAACATTCCCTGCCCAGGTCTCCTGCACTGCAGGAAGATTCTTTACCAACTGAGCTATGAGGGAAGCCCCCAGCTAGCTATAGGCTGATTTACCATGCTCTTGTCTGGGACTGTGAAGCTCTGTTCCATAGGTCCTCTTAAACTTGGGGTAGCCAGCTGGATTTATTCATGGTTCTGAGGCAGAGTTATTTGAGAATTCAGCAGAAATGCACTAAGTCCTTGCAAGGCATACCGTTATTTTCACCAAATGCTATGGACTCAAGCAAATAAAAATCCTAAGTCTAGCCCAGATACAAAGGTGGAGAAAGAGCCACCTCCTCCTAATGCAAGGTGCTTCAGTGGGACAGAGTACTCACAAGCAAAACTTTAGTTTCCATTCATCATGATGAAGTTGATCCCCTTTAAGCAATTCACCCTACATGTTAGATCTTGTTTGCTTTGGAGTGCTCATTTGCTGGCTTTGTTTGTTCATTCTGCTCCATATAGGAGTGAAATCAAAGGGTATTTGTCTTCCTCTATCTGTTTTATTTTTCTTAGCAAAACACCCTCAAATTTTATCCATGTTGTTGCAAATGAAAGGTTTCATGTTTTTCATTCTGAGTAGTATTCCGTTGTGTGTGTATGCATATTTAGACATATTTCCCCCTATATCTTGACTATTTTAAATACTGTTGTAATCAACTTAAGGGTGCATGCGTCTTGAAAAATTAGTGCTTTCATGTTTGGGAATAAATACTCAGGAGTGGAATAGCTGAATCATATGATAGTTCTTACTTATTTGGGAATCTCTATTTTGCTTCCATTGTAGCTGTACCAACTTAAATTCACACCAACCAAGCACATATATGTGGGCAATTAGCTTATAATAAACAAATAACATATGATGGAGAAAAGATACTCTCTACAATAAAAAGGTTTCCCTTTTCTCCATATGATTGCCAACATTCATTTCTTGCCTTTTTGATAATGCCATTGTAACAGGCATGATGTAATATCTCATTGTGGTTTTCATTTGCATTTCCTTAATAATTACAGTAAGTGCCCTACATATGAACATTCAAGTTGCCAACTTTTAAAATGTGAACATGTGTTCATATATCCAGTCATATAGGTTAATTCATGTGTCTGGCATTATCTGTAAAAGTTAGGTACCTAGGCTAACTTTGTTGGATTTACGAACAAATAGAGCTTGGAACACGTTCTCAGAACAGAAGTCGTTCACAGGTAGGGGACTTAACAGAGTGATGTTAAACATTTCTTCCTGTGTCAGTTGGCCATCTGTATGTCATTCTGAGGGCACACTGGTAGCTCAGCTGGTGAAGAATCCTCCTGCAATGCAGGAGACCCAGGCTCGATACCTGGGTCAGGAAGATCCCACAGAGAAGGGATAGGCTACCCACTCCAGTATTCTTGAAAAAAATCTATTAAGGTTCGCTGCTCATTTTAAAATCTAGTTCTTTTGTTGTTGTTGAATTATATGGGTTATTTGTATATTTTAATATCAACTGCTTATCAGATATACCCCTTGTAAATATTTTCTTCCTTTTGGTAGTTTGTCTTTTCATTTTGTTGATTTTCTTCTCAATGCAAAGATTTTTCTTTTCATTTATTTTTATTAGTTGGAGGCTAATTACTTTACAATATTGTAGTGGTTTTTGCCATACATTGACATGATTCAGCCATAGATTTACATGTGTTCCCCATTTGAAGCCCCCTCCCAACTCCCTCCCCATCCCATCCCTCTGCATCATCCCAGTGCACCAGCCCTGAGCACTTGTCTCATGCATCCAACCTGGACTAGCGATCTGTTTCACACTTGATAATATATATGTTTCAATGCTATTCTCTCAGGTCATCTCACCCTCGCCTTTTCCCACAGAGTCCAAAAGTCCGTTCTATACATCTGTGTCTCTTTTTCTGTCTTGCATATATGGTTATCATTATCATCTTTCTACATTCCATATATATGTGTTAATATACTGTATTGGCATTTATCTTTCTGGCTTACTTCACTCTGTATAATGGGCTCCAGTTTCATACATCTCATTAGAACTGATTCAAATGTATTCTTTTTAATGGCTGAGTAATATTCCATTCTGTATATGTACCACAACTTTCTTATCCATTCATCTGCTGATGGGCATCTAGGTTGCTTCCATGTCATGGTTATTATAAACAGTGCTGCGATGAACATTTGTATACACGTGTCTATTTCAGATCTGGTTTCCTTGGTGTGTATGCCCAGCAGTGGGATTGCTGGGTCATATGGCAGTTCTATTTCCAGTTTTTTAAGGAATCTCCACACTGTTGTCCATAGTGGCTGTAGCAGTTTGCATTCCCATCAGCAGTGTAAGAGGGTTTCCTTTTCTCCACACCCTCTCCAGCATTTATTGCTTGTACAAAGTATGATACAGTAAGATTATTTATTCTTGGTTTTGTTTCCCTTGCCTGAGGAGATATATACCTAGAAAAGATATTACTAAAACTAATGTAAAAAGCTTGCTGGCTTTGTCCTCTTTTAGGTTTCTTATGGATTCAGTCCCAGAGCTTACTGGCTATGTTTCCTTTTGATGTTTTATAAATTCAACCCCAAGGAAGGTAGAAGCAGCAGGAGACATGGCACCAGCTCTGGCATTCCAGCATCAAGTGCCTGCAGCATAAGGAGGAGCAGAGGGGCAGTGGAGCCCCCGTACCCCCCCAGCTACCTAGATGTCCATGACCCTGTGTCCCCACAAAAAGCTACCTAGGTGTCCATGACCCTGTGTACACCTCCCCACCAGCTACCTAGGTGTCCATGACCCCGTCCCCACCACCTACCTAGATGTCCATGACCCTGTGTCCCCCCCCAGCTACCTAGGTGTCCATGACCCTGTGCCCCCCACCAGCCACCTAGGTGTCCATGACCCTGTGTCCCCCCCACCAGCTACCTAGCTGTCCATGACCCTGTGTCCCCACCAGCTACCTAGGTGTCCATGACCCTGTGCCCCCCACCAGCTACCTAGGTGTCCATGACCCTGTGTACACCTCCCCATCAGCTACCTAGGTGTCCATGACCCCGTCCCCACCACCTACCTAGATGTCCAGGACCCTGTGTCCCCCCCCAGCTACCTAGGTGTCCATGACCCTGTGCCCACCCCCCCAGCTACCTAGGTGTCCATGACCCTGTGCCCCCCACCAGCTACCTAGGTGTCCATGACCCTGTGACCCCCACCAGCTACCTAGGTGTCCATGACCCTGTGTACCCCTCCCCACCAGCTACCTAGGTGTCCATGACCCTGTGTTCCCCCCACCAGCTATCTAGATGTCCATGACCCTGTGTCCCCATCACCAGC